TGACCTTATCCAAGTTGCTGTCTGGCAGTTTGTGGTTGACGTCAGGGCAATGTGTCCTTGCAGGATGGGAGGATTTTCTGCCGGAGGACAGCCTGCGACTGCGAGAACCCCAGTGCTGATCTCTTCTGCTGCCCGGAGTGTGACACCCGTGTCACCAGCCAGTGCCTCGACCAAACTGGGCACAAGCTCTACCGCAGTGGGGACAACTGGACCTACAGCTGTCAGCAGTGCCGTTGCCTGGTATGGGTAAAGTGTTTCAGAAGGGAGCGAGAACAATAAGGATTGTGATTTTTAGCAAGGCATACCTGGAAGCAGGCTCTTGGCTCGCTCTTCTCCTGCTTTTCAGGTTAGGAATCATGATAAAGCACTTAAGAGCACCAGAGAACTGAAAGCTACACCATCAGTTTTCCGCTTACTGCTGAATGAGTAGGTCTAATGAACAAAATGAAAAGCTTGACAACCTTGACACTGTATTAACTTTAGCATTAGTCTACTTTTGAGAACTTTTATAAGGTCTTCTCATCTTTAAATGACTTTTAAAGTTTTTTTTTCACGTGCAACGTATTTGATTGGAGGAGTTCCATCTTTTAATTACATCTGCTGCTGTACTTGTCTTATCAAAATGGACAATGCAATTCTCTTTTTTTCATTTAGCAAATGCTGGAAAAACGGAGTGCTGGTGCCACTTGGTGAATTAGCAAAAATTAACCATAAAAAGAAGGATAAAGAAAACTGAAATTACTAGACAAGCATGCAGAATAAAGAACATTTCTCATTAGGCGCTGTAGACTATTTTCCTAAAGCTTTAATTTTTGCACAGGTGTACTAATTAGTGCAGCAATGAACTTTATTAAAATTATCGGTTTTCCACTTATAGCTGTCTGTATAACATTGTCTTTATATATGACATTAATCAAGAGGTGTCTGAGCATCAGGAAACAAATTACATTCAGAACTAAGTTACTGTTAAGAGATAATTATCCATAATGTGCAGCAGTAAGTATTGTATTTTTTATTCTCCGAAGATTTCTTTTTAAAGTTTGCAAAAGAAGAGCAAGAAACATTTGTAGCCAGCAGCAATGGCGAATAGATGTGACGTGTTTTACAAGGGATACTGAGTTTGTGGTCAGCAGTTCTTTGCCTAATTTTATGATTGGGTTAACAACCATACAGAGCTAGAAGACAGTGATGCGCTAAATCACTGCTACATGTAAGGTTCCGTGCAGTGTGTGATGATATCAACACCTGAAGTGCTTACAAAGTAGCATAATGCAAGTTACTGGAGCCTTTGCAGGTTAATTTTAGATACTCACAACAATACTCTGTAGAATTGACCTGATGATTCTCTTTTCTCTGTGTTTCTATCTACTAAACTGTTTTTTTACAAAGCTAAATAATAAAATAAAACGACTCAGTGGAACATAACTGGTGTAGCTCTACCAATTCCTTTAGGAGCTGACAGTAAAATCAATTTTGGCTGCTGCTAGTTAGGTCGATGTTCAGTCCTTCTCAAACATACCTACTTCTGTTGAAGCAGTTGCTGTGATCCCACAAAGACGTTTATGTGACCAGATGTAGAAAAGAGGGCATGAGTCTGTAAGGCGATCACTGCAAAAGTTGTAGTTTATGGAAAATACTGGAACCCGGTATTTAATGCTGCCTTTAAAAACCCCAGAGAACTCAAGTTCTCCTCCTACGATGATGACAGTGGTGGTGTTTAGTCAAGAAACAATCAAAAGATATTCTGCGACAGTTAGGAAACTTCAGCTCAGTATTCAAACATGCCTTTATATGACCAACCAAACTGAGAGCTAATCCATTAAGTTTATTTCACTTTTGGCAAAGTAAAACTTTTTCATTCAACAGGATTATAAAATTTCTTGGTAGCAAGTAAATGACAACAAATGCAATGAACCTTGCTTCAATTTTTACAGGAAGGAGAGGTGGATTGTTGGCCTCTTCTGTGCCCAAATCTAAACTGCGAGTACACAGCCGTCTCGGAAGGAGAGTGCTGTCCCCACTGTGTCAGTGACCCCTGTCTGGCTGACAACATCGCTTACGACATCAGGAAAACCTGTCTAGATGGTTACGGAATCACAAGACTTAGTGGCGCTGTATGGACAATGGTGGGATCTCCTTGTACAACCTGCAAATGCAAGGTACGGCGGGCAAGGTAGAATGGTAATGGAAGCGTACGTTGCGGCATGAAGTCAGGGTCACTTTCTGCCCTTGGAAGCTCACATGCAGATCTCGGGGAAGTAAATGAGTCCTGGGGGCAAAAGCCTACAGAAAACCCACGCCTTTTGTGTTTTGCAGGGTAGAAACAAAACAACTCGGTGCTTGTTGAAAATGTTGAGCACAGATATGTGATATCCTAGTGCAACTTTCAGATATTCTGTTGGAGAGCCCTTTAGACATTCTCAGGATGAGTCTAGGCTAATATTTTAATAATTGCCTAACCTGGATGGTCATGAAAATGTACAGAGCTGGTGAGCAGAGACAAAAACACTAATAAAAGTTTCACCAGCAAGTACACAAATAGAAACACATTGTAGCTCAGCCATGAAGGCGCTCCCACAACGGAAGTAGGAAGGGAACGTCACAGTTTCTGTTCCCTGATCTCATCAAGATGCATCTAATCCAATGACTCTAATGCAGAAGTGCAGTCTGTCTCCCCTGTTCCATGCAGTGATGACCCCATTGTGCTAATATCAGAATTATGAAAATGTTTTGGGTTATATAAAATGTTCTTCTGTTTGCTGTGGGAAACCAAGCTGTTGCTCCAGGGCTTTAAATTGTTGGAGGTAGCTTTTCTGCCATTCTTCAGAGTTTTTCCTATTGGTTTGTGTTGGATTAAAAAAAAAAAAAAAAAAGAAAAACAAATTGCCTGTTTGGGGTTTTGGTGGTTGATATAGTTTTTAGATAGTTTTGTAAATGAGTGGATGTTGCAGAAAGATATTTAACAGTGGATTAAACTCCAAAGCCATATGTTTTTTCCCCGCCCATACATACCTGCCACGAATCAAGAATCTGAACCATCTGCTTATTTCGAACAAACAGAAAGCTTCCAGGCATGGATCGTATCGAAACGTTCTCCATTAACTTTATTGCATGGGAGAAAACAAACGCAATCATCTTTGTTGCCATTGCTGTGCTGTATTTTATTATGGGCACCACTGAGTCTTTCACATCCAGGTTTCTAGTTCATGTGTAGTTCAGGCCAGTTCAGTGCTGTTGGGCGAAGCCAACCTCCTCAAAAAGCCACCACAGTTGGGACCGATGAGGACGCGTTGGGATGATGGCTTGAGCAGAGTTTTGTATGCGGTAGATGTGTCAGACATGCATCTGTCTCTGCGTACCACCAACCCCGTTGGTCTTTGTGACTTGTTCTGCAGAGGTGACTGATACCTGCTTGTTTGTCTGTGCAGAATGGGAACGTCTGCTGCTCGGTGGATTTAGAGTGTCTCCGCAATAACTGACGTAGTCAAACTGGACTGTGCTGAGGGAAGAGAACTGATGAAGTTAACACCTGAAATGAAGTTGTATGCGTTGGCGTTTTATACACAGACAATTACCAAAGTCTCCGCATGAGGAAGATGTTTGGGAGTTGCCTTTGGGACCTACCACTATGCTCATCCTTGCTAACCTTGTCTGGGTGACTTACAGTACAGCGCATATAAGTCAATGGTTGTTAAAAGTTTTCAGTGTTGTAAATTACACACTTTTCCTGTCAAGACATTTGCAAATACGTTTGAATTATTTCATGGGTAAACTAATGCTGTATTTTTGTTTTAATTTGTGTATTTGACAACATGATAGAATTCAGCTCTTCTTACTTTGGATCTAGATTTTACAAATAAGACAGCCTGTTGTGATTTTATCTCATGATACCACTTACTTAGTTCCAAGGTCCCTGTCAGATGTATTTATGAAAATATGTATGTATGTACAGTCAAATTGCATAGTACTTATATTTCACAGCTGTCCAACATTTTAAAACATTCAAAGGTATATTTGATTGGACAGAAGTAATCAAAATAAGTCTGTCTTAAAAATTTATAAAATTAAATGCCATGAACTTAATGAAGTGGCAAAAAAAGCACTTTCTTCTCCAAACATGCAGAGCAGCAGCAAGACTCCTATAGTAAGAAATGGAACTAAAAATGCATTCCACTGCCAGTTCAACACATATTCAGGAAAGAATCACTGGTCATTATCGGAATTCTGTTTTGCAAGAGAAACTGCAAGTGCTGGAAAAGGGCATAATCCCTCCGGATTGTGCAGTGATAAAACAGAGAGCCTTAAGATGATATAATTTAAATTGACTAGATTAGAATTTGCTTTCAATTATAACATCATTGATGAGTTCAGAGTTTTTCCTTTTTTTGTATTTACAGTCATAATGATGTCTGCCATTCTCAGTTACTGCTACCATAATGACAAAGTGCAGAAGCACCTGTACCAGCGACATGCGGGACAGGAGACCTTAATACCTGGTAACTTTCTTTTCCCACTTCACAGCTCAGAAACAGATTTTCTCTTTTCATATGTTATGATGTTCAAAAATACTTAGTTTTAAATTTACCGTCCACAGAGTGGTGTTTAGTACCTAAGTTTTAGACAGAAATACAAATTAAAACTCTTAACCCTATATCGAGGTTAGAGTTTAGGTTCTCTTCAGCTAATGTCTATTTTTTTCATGAGGCTAGAAAGTCTGTGGCAGTAGAACAAGAATATATTTCTACAATGATGGCATCTACAGCTTAAATGTCACCTCTTTAATGTGCTGTTGTGTTTTGTTCTTCTCATTTGTGTAGTGTTTTTTGCTTTTTGTTTATTTAATTAAAGACACTGAGTATATGGAAAAGAGTGCAGAAATAAGTATAGTGGCTAAAGTTTGGAAAGTCTACATTTGTGAGTTTTTCATAGTTCCATGCAGAAAATGTGAAACTGATTAATAAGAATGAAGTGTGACTATACAGTGAAAAAATTAGTCGTCTTTTAATTGAAGTATTATTATGTTTCTTATAAGGGGAAAGTGGCAAAACAATATAAAAATTACTTGCAATCATTCAGACAACTTTATTCTCATTTTTTAAACAGGATTTGTTTTATCTAAGAGGTTTGTGTGGTAAAGTTAAATTTATTTTCTTAAAATGCCCCATCATTTTCGGCTACCAATGTATTGATTATATTTGCATTGCTCGAATGATTGTATATAAGGGAAACAGTTGTGTTTTATATGATACTCAAAGGATGTTTGTAACTCATAACATCAGCTCATTTTGTATATCACACTGTAAAACCCAATGGTAATTCAGTTGAATGAGATATCCAGTGGGCTGAGATATGAAGGGGAATGATTTAAAACTTGTGGGCATCTAAATAAACTCCTATGTACAGATTGCTTTTCCGTAGTTTTATTAGCAGAGTTTTAAAACACTAATCGCTGCCCTTTCCAGACTTGAACTCGTGATGTTGCTAAAAGGAGAAAAGAGTGTTTTCCCAGGGATGTAGCGTCAGAGTTGCAAGAAATACTTGGTTTATACCTAGTCGGACAAAAATCATATATTCCAGTCTGTCATACACACCAATTTCTGAAGCTCTGTGAATGGGATCAAAGACAGTGCAGAGTTTGAAAATAACTTTTTTCCCATTTGCCTTGTAGTATTGAAGCCCTTTCTCAGGATGCTTTCTGGAAGCTCCAGACCTCGTTAGGATCATATCCAACAGGAGCAAAGAAGTTCTCATTTTTCTGCTGCGTAGACCAATTTTCTTCCAGAACACAAATGCAGATTAATTCAGTAAACCCCTTTCTGAGCATTTTGTATAGTATTATGCGTCATTATCTCCAGAGTGATACAGCTTGAATTGTTTACACAGTCTATTGACACAGACCTGTTTATGTTGCATTTTAAGCAGTTACCCTGACTGTGATGAACGTTTCTTTATGAAGCAGTCAGATCACTAGTCACATCACATGTACCTCCAGAGTACTCAGAAGCCACAGCCCGAGCTCAGAGCACACTGAGGAGGAAAATTTAATTCACTATGTTCCTCTGAGACCAAGGTAAGAACTTTCAAAACCTCTTTCTGGATGTGATTTCCTATTGCCTATGAAACTATGGGCACTGCAGTGAAAATGCAATAATAAAAAAAAATAATCAAAGTTGTTATAATAATTTCTGAAAAATCTCCTCTTTGTTTGTGAGATGGACCTTCTCTGTCCAGAAAAGATAAGAAAAAGATCTTCTCTGTCCAGAAAGATAAGAAAAATGGTATCAATGTGAGGAGAACTACCACGATAACTTCTGTGAAAGGAAACTTGCTGCTAGCTAAGGGACTTGGTTCAAACCCTTCTATAGGCAGTTGGAATTTTGTAGCTGTTTCTAGTTATTTATCCTGTAAAGGAATATTTTCTCTGCATGTAACATTTCTGATGACAAAAAAAAAAAAAACCAAAAAAACACCACAAAAGTAAGAAACAGAAAATGAAAATTCTAGCTCTGGTAAAATGTAAAAACTCAGCCTAGATACTAAACTAGAACATTGTATTATGTCTGGTGAGGGAAGTGACTTCTCAGTTCTGCTCCCTTGCAAACTCACCTACTGAGCCAAAGCAAGTGCAAGTGTTCCTTTGTAGTGGCTCCTAGAGTCATGGACCACACTGAGCCACTCTAGTCACTATTAAAGACCAAAGAAAATCCAGATTGTTCCCCACAGATGCTGAATAAAATCTGCCTAATTCACAGGGAGATTTTTTAGTGTCTCTGTGTTGCCCGAGAGACCTAAATAACAGCTGTCTTCCAGTAATGTATCTTCTCCCAAGAGCTGTCAGTGAGCTTTCAGGTGTAACTGCATACAACATTTAATTAATAACATCTTTTCAATCAGAATGCAACGACAAACAAAATATCATCGGTTTTTTCTCTGTGGCAGACAATAATGTCTTACAAAACAAAAGGTATAAAGTGTCAGGAGTGATTACACAAATGGTGGAGTAGATTGTAACAGAATTAAATCATAACTCCTACAAGCAATGTGGGAATGTCTCACATCTAATGGTACTTACATAATCATCATTAATGAGGGGATTTTAAAAGGGCCCCATGATACAGTTTGTTGTAAAATTTTAAGTGAGTGTTGTGATAAGACATAATTGTTTGAGGAACATATTCTGCCATCAGACATATATCCCTGCCAACAAGCTACTGTTCCTCTTAAGGTAGATATTTGACACTCATCCACATTTAAACTGATGTAAGGAAGAATCATGGTGGCACAAATTTATAAAAAAAAATTAAAATTCCAACCTGGGGCGTCTGAAGGCTTCTTCGTATTCAGTTCTTCTCTCTTACTGGCCGAAATCAGCAATAATTCTGTTTCAGCTGGTCATTGACCTCAGAGGGGTGTTAGTGAAGTGCTGGTATTGCTTGTAATCTGCAAATATTACTTGCAAAGGCTAACAGGATTATTTCTTGCTACTAACTGCTAGTGAACAGTCCCTCATACGCAGGTTTTAGGTATACCTGAGAAGGGTGTATCTCAATAAGCTGATAAAAAGGGTCAAATTTAGGGTTTTTTAATGAAACTATCACCAGGAGTTTCACAACACATGGGGACATGTTGTCAAAGTCATGGCCAGTCAAAAAACCCCATGGGCCAGTAAAAAACAACAAAAAAAAGGCCCCCCACATCATGTATGTGTCATTTAAATTCTTCACAGTGACTTCAGCTGCGCACTGAATTCTGACGAGTGGATTTCTTTCTGGTTGGGAGCCAAATCTTTGCTTTGGCAGTACCTCACACTTGAGTTACTTTCCTTCCTAAATTTGTACACAAGATTGTTTTATTTAATTGGTTTGATTGGAATTGAGCAGTGTTCGGAAGCAAGCCTTGTCATGTCCTCGCGTTGAGATCGAAGTAGCTACAACAGGATCTGGAGCAATTCAGACTTCTTTCTTGTACGTGCCTCTACCCTGACGGGGAGAAACCGCCTTGGGGAAAGGCACGGAGTTACCTCGCCAGCTCGCTTGTGCTTGGGTGGTACTGTAGTTACAGCCAGTAGCTGACAGGGTTGTGATAGTATCTACCCTGGATACAGCAAGAGATACACAAAACCTCCGACAGTGGCTTTTGGTTGCCATTCTCTGTTCTGTAGCTTCTTTCAAGTGACTTGTCATGTCGTCCGAACACCGTAACATATTTAGCTCTCCCAAGGCTCTTTATGACTGAATGCCTATGTGGTTATATGTTGTACTATCCCAAAACTCTTCATTATTGAATGCCTGTGTGGTTGTACATGTAAACATGTAGATCCACCGGGCACTTCAGTGAAGAGAGGCTTAGAGGTTCTGCAGCAGATCACACCATAGCTCAAACACAAAGCAGAGACCAGAAGCTTATCATGAAATGAAACCGGATTTGAAAAATCCTGCTTTCTAATAATGCCGTTGATTGATCGCTGTTTGATTAAATCTACTTTTTCTGTCACAAGAATTGCAAATGTATTTGATTTAATCCAGTGCTGCTTTATACTAGTTTTGACGGATTCATTTTCAGTTCAATATTAAATATGCAGATGCGTTTTCCTACCTGAATATTATGTGAAATTCTCATCCAAGTGCTAGAATATGCAGGCTTAGCTACTGTTGTGCCTCTAGACTCAAAGAAGGCATTTCTTTTCTCAATGTTTATGACATCAGAATCAGAGAATCACCAAAGTATGTTCAGGTGAGCACTAACATTAAGGCTAAGCTCTTACCTGTTAAGATAAGGGTTAAGGAAAACCAAATGCGTATTTTAAAAGTACATTTACTTTTAAAAGTAAAAAGTGTTTTTTCAGCCTGACCATGGATTTGGCCATTTATTTGCATTTGTATTAAATCGTTAGCCGGTTAGTTCACTCTTTAGTCACACACATTTATTCTGTGGTTTGCAGGGTACAAGACAGCTTTGAGAACTAGGTAACTGCTGCAAGAA